ACCGCTACCATCACCGCCATCATCACCACGACTACAACTACTACTTCTACAGCTGCTGCTTCTAAAGCTACTATTATTACCACTGCTAATACTATTACTGCTGGCAACTCTACTGTTACGAATCGCGCAAAAATTCCCAATTCAGATGAATTGAATTATAAGAACATTGGAGAATCAGAAATCAATAGTAAACTGTCACCATATAGCAGCAGTAATAGCATCGTTCATCGAAACAGTAACAGGACAGTAGGCAGTAATTTTACTTTTATTAATACTAGAAACCCCATCCCCCATGCCCAGGTTGACAATAAAAATGAACAAACTTTCCTCACTACTGCTAACAAGTTTTTACATGCAGCAACAAAAACAGCAGCAACAACAACAGCAGCAGCAACTAAAACAACAGCATCAACAACAGCAACTACAGCAGCAACAACAACAGCAACAACAACAACAGCAGCAACTACAGCAACAGCAACAACAACAACAGCATCAACAACAGCAGCATCAACAACAACTACCTTCCCTAAATTAGCTGAAGACTTCAACTTCCATTCTCACATCAACAGTAACGTCAGTAACATTAACGTTAGTAGTGTCAGCAACAGAGATTTTACGACGACCTACAAACATAGTAGCCATGGTAGCGATATTAGAAGCATTGAACAAAGCAGGGAGGATAATGATCAAGAATATGTAAATGAATTTAGCAACGGAAACAATACTAGCAACCAAAATATTAGCTACGGAAGCCTTTCTTGCGGCCACATAAACCTTCTAAGCAAAGGTAACAATATGAACAACAATCACTACAATGCTAACAATGTAACCAAAGAAAATAGAAATGACGTCATCATCATGATGACCAGCGTGAACAGCGACTCTGCAGACTCCATGATGATAAATGACCACCATCATCAGCACAACCACCCACAGTCGCATAATGACGTCACTGATGTCGAAGAACAAACAGCAAATACTGAAAATAACTATGGAAAGCATTCCGATCATAAAAATGTTCACATTATTAGCGTCATCAACAACAGCAGCAACCATTATGATCATGATTCTCTGAGCAACGGCAACAACAATTTGCTTGACAAAAACGAAGTTAATTTCAATGGTGAAAAAATTATAAATCAGAAAACCAGCGAGGACAACAACAACAACATCAACATTAACAGCATCCTAAACGACATTAAAAACAACATCAGCAGTGACATCAACAAAAATCTCAACAAAAACACCGCCAGCAACATCAACAACAACAACATTAACGACTATAACGCCATCGTGGGCACCGTTTCAGACATCAACAACAACATCAACTTCACTGAAAGCATTTATAACATCAACGTCAACGGTGGTGAAATCATCAATAACGCAAACATAACAGTTTGTAAAACAAACTTAGCCAAAATTAACAAGGCTTACAACAACATCGCTATCAACAACAGCATCAACAACAACAGCAACTCAACAAAAATTCGCAGACTCCCCCAATATTATTCCAACTCCTACCGTCTGGTGGGCAGTCTGCTTGTCGGAAGCATCTTCATGGTTGGGTTGATGGGAAACATTATGGTGGTCATCGTAGTGTCCAGGTGGAAGTCCATGCACACGCCCACGAATTGTTACCTGGTGTCGCTAGCGGTGGCCGATCTGTTGCTGCTCATCTTCGCCTGCCCGCCGACCATCGTTGACTTTTTCAACATCGTCGATGATTACGTCTTTGGAAGGGTTGCCTGCAAGAGCATGGTCTTCGCGCAGTACCTGGCGATCAACTTGGGCTCCCTCTCCATCACGGCGTTCACTGTCGAAAGGTTTGCCGCTATCTGCCACCCCATTCTTACTCATAGGTTTGTACATCCTAGTTTGTTTTGTATGTTTTTATATTTGTATGTAAATGTACGTTTTTTAAATTTGTTAGATTAAGTGCCAATTTGCAAAATTGAATGAATGTTCGCGGATTATCTCTTCAATTTGTACAGAAGCGTGTTTGTTGCGCAATTGATTAAAGGGCTTAAAAGAACCGCCAACCTGAAGAACTCTTTCATTGCACTTCAGGAACGGAGCGTCATTCGTCAAGCCTTCCTCCCATCACTCATCATTATATTCATAGGCTGCGTCTTCAGAACTTCTTCAGTCAAATGTTGTTTGCGCATCTGAGCAGTTGAGTGGGTTGGTCTATTCCTGCTCTCCACGCAAATAGTCATGCAATGAATAGTGGATTAAAATATTTTCTAGTTCTACGTAAAATAAAAATGCAAATTAAATTTGTTATTTATATCAAATTGGAAACAAGCTGACATGACAGTTCTGTATGACGTAATTGATCACGTGATTATGTGGCGCGCAAAAAAGGCGTTTGTCTGTCGTTTCAATTTGCTGTGCGCTATTGATTTAGAAAAGCAATCTTATGTAAGATGTACGCTTTGTATTTATAAATTTTTAAATATGTTTGACGAGCTTCTTTCAAAAACAGCTCCAGACAAAATCATTCTGACCAAAAAACTATCAAAAGCATTGCATCCAGTATGATAGAAAACGGTTGATGGTCTGTGATGGTCGGATGGAAGGAAGGTGGGTAGGTAAGAAAGATATTTCGCTGATACAAAGAGAAACTGGACTCCACTTTATGACAAACTTTGCCACCAATGTTTGATTTTTTTTAAATTTAACAAAATGTTTTATGAACGTGACAGATTAGACTTGAATTTTCAAATAAACAGCAAATGTAGTAAGAGTGTTGAATGGACACGTACAGCTCACGAAAATGAAAAAATTATTTTTGAAGTGTAACAAAAGTTACTTGATGAAATAATGATTGTTATTTTAGATCTGAGTTTTGAGTTATCTACAAATTCAAAGCACTTGTTATCAATTTTAACATAAACCAAAAATTTTTTGTATCAAGTATTAAACGCGATGATTAATTTTACTAAATGCTAAATGAGGAAGCAATACGTCCAGCGTGACGTGTGTGTGTGTGTGTGCACGTACGTGCGTGTTTGTGTGTGTTTGTGTGTGTTTGTGTGTGTGTGTGGTGTGTGTCATTGTTGAAACCTCTAAGTAATTTGTGAAGAAGAAAATAAACATGACATAGTGAAAATAGATTGATGTAGGTTGGTTTCGTTGTTCAAAAATGAGTTTCGCGTGAGTTTAAACTGTTACTGTTTCAAACAAGCAACTTTACAAATTCGAGCATGTTCCATTGAATTCATGGACCTTGTTACATATTTTGATAAATGCTTCAAGAAATGCACACTTTTATTACACGTCGAACTGATCATCACTCAAATATTTGAAGTTCTGAAAAATAAATTTGTAACTAACGAAATACCCGCAGTTTGTAAGCTTCTGCAAATGTTGTTTTACGCTGGTCATTTTATTACACACATTAATATAGAATTGTATCATTTATTATTTTGATAATCTTTCTTACTTTAGAATAAAGGTTCATTAACTTGTTACGAGTCACATTATGTGCAAAACATTGAAGTCAGTCGATATGGCTTATTTTCATTCGAACGAACGCCTACCGAAGCAGGTTAATTAAATAAATTAGCCAAATCAGATTTCAAAAATTAATAAGAATTATAACAGAAAAAAACTCTTGTAAAATTTTATGAACTTTTATTGTAACTGTTTTTGGTATGCGTTTAAAATTAATAATGAATAGATATTTTAAAACATTGAAAAACATGAATGCGGCTGTAAAACGCGGACGTGGGCGTTATCTGTTGTATGCATGAATGAATTAATGACACCCGAAACTGTTGCATAAACAAACAAACAGACAAACAGACAGACAGACAAAAAACTCAAAATTTTTTTGTCCATTTTTTAAATAGCTGCATAATCGCAACAAAAATTAAAAAAATGTTGTACAAACTATGAAGCAGCTGCCATTTCATTTTAAACTAATTTATTTTGATTGACGGCACGTAAACAAAAGATTAACACAAACTCACATTCGAGTATATTTTCCACCATTCAAGGTAATCATAAATTTAATGAAAGTTATCAGGACATTTTTCTTTTTGATGTGAATTATATCTATAAATTTTTAATACTTTTTAATTTTTGGAGAATAATATAAATAAATAATTTTAACATGCCACGCCATGTTCAGTTAAATCTTTTTTAATTTTCATTTTTCTTTTAACATCCTATAAACAATAAACACTCACAGTTAACTTCTTACATAAAAGCATTGGGCAGTAAATAAGTCTGCGTGCAATAAAGAATGATAAAGGATGAGAGGCACATTATCTGTGGCATGCATTTTTGTCTTAATTGACCGGTCGACCATCCTTCATGAGTTATTTTTCTTTTGAGGTGTCCCACCGATATGGTGATGTGCGATCTGGCGTGATTTCTCATTAGTTGCTTCAGACAGGCAGTGTCCAAAATGCATTTACAAGAATTCTCGCTTGAATGTATATAAATGGGTTCTCCCTTTTAAAATAGTCAGACGTATTCAGGCTCGCCTGTTTTAGATATTTCAGGTTCAATTAAAATTTTAAATCCTGGACCACCTAAAATATTTTTATTTATGTTGAATACACTTATAAAAATATAATATCCAATCCTTAGGACTTAGATAATTTTATTGGGATTGTTTCGGTTGATACCCAAACTTGACGTAATTTGTGCATCGTAAATTCTACAAGTGTAGAATAAAATTTAAAAGTTCGTTGTTTGAAAGCAAAATCATTACTTTTTCAATCAGAGAGGCATCAAATGATTTATCGTTAGATCGTTTGTGTAGTTCAATGAGACATTCCAGCAATGATCCAATGCTTGAGAATATAATATATTAATAAATACCTGACATAAATCAAAAACAAAAATAAATGGTTGCTTCATTCAAAAATATAAACACTCCGTCATACGAATGAAACAACGGAATCAGGTTGAAAATTAAGCACCACACCAGCAAAAATTTGGAAGTTTTAGTGTCCCCTGTCAAAATTAAAATGTTGACCCTTACCGTTAACGTGGTCTAGATGCGCCACTGACGTGCAACATTAAATTGAATAAAATGTCGTGCCGGAAAAAACGCAACTTCAGCAGCTGTCTTCGCTGGAAACCTCACCTGGTTTCTGTTATAAATCTACCATCTGTTAAGAGTCTATTGATTCCGTTAATTCATATTGATTTAAAAATTAATACGTTGATTCAACGCAGCATGGTATCAAACATCGCCATGTTATATTTTTTAATTAAAACAATTCTTGTCCGTCACATTGCACACGCCCACGTACTAGGAATGCGCTGGCGAGAGAATTACGTACAGGCTGTAAGGAGGACTCGCTTGACTTTTCACAGTAATCTTTTGAATCATGTTTTTCTACTGCGTGAGCAGGTTTACCGAATTAATATCATTTTTATAAACTAAAATTTATTTACGTTTAACTGTAACAAATGCGCATAATCGTGTTGCTATTATAACAGGTAAAAAAATGTAAATGAGACTTTGCATGAGTTGAAACATTACGGAATGCTAGATAGTTGGACGATGACGACAAGCTTCGTTCATTCATTCAAGTTTACTCTGCAGCAGAAGAATTCATTTTCAATTTTTATTGGTCGTATTTTGAGCAGTTTTTTAAAATAGTTTATACATTCTTTCCATCAAGAATTCGTTCACGTGTAAATCGAAGGTGGTTAAATGAACAAAAATCCAAATTACAAAATGTATCAAATTTTTTACATGTTATGGCTGAAAATTAAATGTCAAAAAGTTTTAAAATATCTATTAATTTAATTGAACTGAAATACAAATCATTTTTGAAGTTTTTCCTGATTTTAAATATTTTCAAGTGAATCATCATCATCCCCTCGACATCAATCCTCATCATCACCATCATCGACATAAATCATCATCATCATCACCATCATCGACATAAATCATCATCATCATCACCTCGACATCATCATCATTATCTTGACACGAATTATTATTATTTCCCCTGCTAACTTCGGTCCTGCCACAAGTTCTGTGGAGGAAGTGCATAAAACAAAATTATCCACTCGTTGCGTTCGGCGGGCCATTTTCTTTCTCCATGACGTCACGTTAAGCTTATCACGTTCTCTTGTTGATGTATGTTTATGATATCTACATGTAAATACGCATGCGACTGTAATGTTTTTACCCATTCGAAAGTTAGTAGATATTATCTGAATATCCTTTATTGGAATATTTTGGGAAAAAAATAAGGTGATGAAAGTAAAACAAACCTATAGAGGCGCATCAGCTTGCCAGAGAAACGCGCTCCACCATCACTCATTTCACAGTTCAATTGAATTGCTGACAAATAAAATCTAACTAGAGAAACCACAATGACCTTGTTTACGTCATTTCCGCAATAAAACCAGGCCCATTTTTCCAATTCAACCACTTTGAAATTCAAAAAATTATCTTTTCAGTAAGTTTCAAATGTTTATCTTTGAGTTATTTGTTGTGTTGATTGATCCTGTTAATCAATGCCATTGTGGCAAAATTTTTGTATTTTTAAAAATTTGATTATCGTTATAATAACTATGATGAATATTTTCACCATAATCAACATTATAAACATTGTCCTCATCATCCACTCATTGAAACGAGCATTATGATGATTCCACAAACAGAGCCATGAATTAATGCCATGTTGTTTATTTCCTTTGGGCAAGAGGATGCATGGATCCGCCCGGAGAGGAAATGCACAAAACATCTGCCGCTGATTAATCTCTCATATCTCCTCATATTCATTCGCCATCCTTCATTTTTTCATTTTGTGGTTTTCCAATTTATTTTATTGTTTTATTTCTATTTTTTTTCATGATTTGCTTTCTCGTTTTTTTTATTCAT